AAACCACCAGTATCTTTCCCAGCTATTTTGTTCCTACAGGGCCCGTTAACATGCCATATCCTTTGGGACTCCACCTACTGGACCAAAATGGCCCGCTCCAGTTCGTTTTTGAATTGCCATGCAGCAGAAATCCACATCAGGAAAAAGAGGATTCGCGGTAGCGGTGGCTTAAAAAAAAAAAAAAAAAAAAAAAGAAGAAGAAGAAAGAATTAGCCTTTAAAAAATAAAAATAAAAATAAAAAAGCAAAAAAAGTCGTCAAGAGAGCAGCTGAACCTGTGTTCAAATGTGGGTGGAGCATTAAAGCGGTGTGTGCCATTCTTCCAGCAAGGGAAGCCTTTCAGGTATGTGCTCAAGTGATTGAGCCCTGAAGATGGCAGCTGTCCAGATCCTCCTCTCCAACACCACTACCGCTATCAACAAACCACTGTCGCGGCTATGGCGACCGTCTTCTCCGGCAGGTAATCCTCCTCCTCCTCTCTCCTTCCCTAGGCATGGATTCCTTTAACGTGCTCATCATCTTCTCCAAGCTATGGCCTCTTCACCTCCGCCCTTCCTAGCTATGGTGGTAACCCTCCTCACGGCTTCCCTGGATGCCCGTTGGGAGCAGAGGTACCACTGCTACTTCCGGTGGGGATGAAAAATAGTGCCGCAGACGCATGCATCATCAGGATGGTGGGTATCGACTACCGTCTTCACCCAGCGCTCATTATCGCTGTATCTGGACTGAAAGTTGCCCCAAATACAGCCATAATAACCGGGCCTTCCATTCAGGAGAAGAAGAGGGTTGTAATGACTTGCTGCTTGCTGCCGTATCTGTCTGCGGGGTTGTACACTACGGTGTGGTTTTGCCTGCTGAGTTTGCGGCATGTTTGTTACTGTGTGATTGCTGTGTTTTCTGTGGTCGCACTGAGGGCTGTCCGCTGTTCTAAAAATAGAATAGAAATAACAACGGTAGAGTTTGAGTGTTTGCAGGCCCTAAGGGGCACTGCGCCCTAAGTGCTGTAGGACTGCTGTAGAGGCCGGGTAGGCCCTTAGGGCAACGGTACCGGTAGTAGTTTCGGTCCAGTAGGTTAGGCCGAAAACTGTAGGTAGAGTAGGACCGAGAGTTAGGCACTTTTGGCTTCTCATTTTTTCGCGTGCAGCGTTGGTGGCCAACTAAGTGAGCAGCCCTGAAGACCCACAGCGGCACCTGGGGTTTCAGCAGCGGTGAAGCAGCCATAGCCGGCCCACCTGAGTCAGCCATAGCTGGGGCTGTACTCAGCGCATCTATCCCCTGGGGATATCTGCGTTGGCAGGGCTATATTGGAGGTCTTCACAGAGTACATGTGGGTACTGCTGCTGCGGTAACAGCCAGGCAGCCATAGCTGTCTTCTTCATCGTCAGAGTGACTCATCGGCACTAGAGGCTACTTCGCTATTCATGATCTGCATCTGGGTGTATGGCGCTGGCCTCTGGGAGGCTATTCCTGTGCAGCGCTAGACTCTGAGAGTGTGGTAGTGAGTGGAGTGTGTGGTTCTGGAGTGGCGAGACACTGGGTGGAACTCTGTAACGATAATTGAGGTTAACTGTGTTGAGTTGGCTCTTCGTCTGGGTTACTTTCCAATTGTGATCTTCGCAGTGTCAATTGTGATTGGTTGTTGGGAGTGTGTCAGGGAGAGAGAAACACTGAGTGTATTCTCCCCTTCTGTGCATAATTGCTATTCCGCTGTCTATCTCTGATCTGTGTGCAGTTGGACCCTGTCTCCTTCTCCCCTTTGTCTCATGCATGTATGGGCGTGTGTGAGTTCTTCTGAGTGAGAGTGGCAATTAAAGTGTCAGACAACCAAGTTCATAACACGGTAGCCAACACCCCAGTTCGTGTAATAAGCCAGGGGAAGCCCAGGCACAGGCCAGCCTTCTTCTTGTTTTTTAATTCGGACCATTTCTCGATTTATGAGTGTCATCCTTGCGCAGGGGCCACACTAATCTGTCTTCTCTGTACTGTTCCAATGTCAACGAATGTCCCTAAGGACACAGCCAAGGCTTCCTTTGAGGCAGATCCATCAAAATTGGAACGATGGCACGATGCAGAGAAAAGATTAATTAGACGACTGATTAGCGTGGCCCCTTAGCATTCAAGGATCACTCACACAAATCGAGAGAAAAGGTCCATTTTTTCAAAAGCAAGGGGGGTCATTTCTTCAAAAGCAAGGGGGGGTCAGAAGACTCTGAACGTGCCGCAGCGTGTGGAAGTTGAGGGCTCAAGTACCTGGACGTGCAGCAATGCACAGGAGGCATTCAATCAGAGCACGACATGCATCGCTACAAAACAGAAGACCCACCAGAGCTGAACTCGTTCTCAGGGAGCATGATCCTGGTCGCAAAAAAGACCACATGCATACTTTCTTAAACACAGACATAACACCAGTGGGGGCATATACCCCTATTGCAAACAGACGTACCTCCTGGTGGTTGCGACTCATCGAATTGGGTGAGCAGAGAGTCGAGACATTTCAACAGTGCGGCAACAAGAGCGTATTCAGGTCCGTTCTTCGATTTCAGCTGCTTCTCCATCTCCTCGAGGCAGAACTCGAACATCGTATCCATCTTCCCTTTCATAGCATCCTCAAATTTTTCGACAAGCAGTCCCAGCAGAATCAAGATCTTTGCTCGGACTGCCACACACACCATACACGTCAACCACATCCCCAACACAAACATCGTTCAGGGAGATTTTACCTTCACAAAACAGTTTTTTTTTTTTTTGAAATAACACAAAACAGTTGAAAACACCCATGCAAACCAAATTCGACACAATCCAAATGACCAACTTTGGCTCCTTCATTCCTCCCGCTGCCCCACTTTGTCACTCTGTGAACGTGTGCATTCTGTCTGTGCATGTGTGCATGTGTCGCTCTGTGCATGTGTGCATGTGTCTGTGCATCTGCCTGTGTGTGCACTGTGCATGCATACGTGTGTGTCTAATTTCATCTATCCATTGGCCCCTGTGTGCGTCCGTGTGTGTATCTCCATGTTTGTGTGCGCCCGTGTGTGTATATCCATGTGTGTATATCCATGTGTGTACCCAGGTTGTGTACTTCAGCATAGGATGCTTAAACACCCGTTTGCCTTCCCCCCCCCTCTTTTTTTTTCCTTCCTTTTTTTCACCGATGGAGTCGGATGGACCATGCATCGGTTATTAAACTGACCACAACAGAAACTACACTTGATCTTGGCCAATTTCCGCACAGCTGCACCTTCTATTTTTGGTTCGTGTGTGCTTCAGATTTACAACACAACAGCCCCTCCTTTTCCACCCAGATGAGTAGCTTGAAACCCGAAGCAGCTTTACCTCTATTGCAGACAATGAAGCACACTTGAGATGACAATGAAACAGTTTTACCTCTTTGCTTACCAAGCAACATGCAGCCTGCATGTGTCCGTGTGGGCCTGTGCACCGCCATGTGTCCCACTTTGCCTGTCCATGTGTTCATGCATGTGTTCGTGCCTGTTTTCGTGCATGAGGTGTGTGTGTGCAGTTTTTGTGTGTGCAGTCTGTGTTGGTGTGTGGTGTGAAAATCTCTGGATTTTCAGATAGGGCAGAGGGCTGCGTGATGCAGGATGCACCACAGACATCGTCTTCGACGCTCTCTTCCACCCATTGCCACATACCTCTGGCCCTCTTCGTTCATGCATGCATGTGGTGTGCGTGTGCACTTATGTGTGTACAGTTTGTGGTGGTGTGTGGTGTGTGAATCTCTGGATTTTCGAATGGGGCAGAGGGCTATGTGACGCACGATGCAACACACATCATCTTTTCCCGCCCTCTTCCACCCATTGCCACATGCCTCTGCACCTCCTCGTTCTCTACCCCCCCCCGCCCCCCCCCCCCCTCACTCTCTCTCTCTCTCTCTCTCTCTCTCTCTCTCTCTCTCTCTCTCTCTCTCTCTCTCTCTCTCTCTCTCTCTCTCTCTCTCTCTTCCTAAGACACACACGACACACACAGAGCGACCAAGAGCGGAAGGTTGATGAGCAGCTGTTTCATGCACTTGTTATCAGTGACCATATCTGTGACACCTCCATGGGCAGCGGCCAAAAAACAAAAAGACTTGCCCTGACCCAACCATGGTAGGAAAGCCTTGGAAGTCCAAACTTGTCATCAACCAGAAAAAATTTAGTTGAGTTACATCAGCCCACAAGTTAAGCACTATTGAAAAAGTGCGAATGACAACCAGGTGCGTTTGCGTCCCCAGAGTGTCTATGAGGCACTTGCTTCAAAAACAGCAGGCCTGGTATATGAACTGGAGGAGCACCTTTTTATTTTTCTATATTTTTTTAAAGGGGGCAGGATCTACGTAGGGTTTAGCATTCACACTCTAGGGTCAGGGTTTATGGTCAGAAACCCGAGGGCAGAAGTTTATTGTCTACCAACTGACAGCTAGGTCAGTTGGTACACCCCTCCTGGACTGAACTGTTGAAATACAGACCAGGTCCGGAGTTCGACCTCCACCTGGAAACAGATGAGTAAAATACTACAATTCTGAATAACCTAGGGCCGATCAGTTCAATGACGATATCTCGAGGCCGTCGCTCTTTTCAAAAAACAAAAAAAAACAAAACAGAAGTTTATTGCCTCCCCAAATTAGATGTCCAGTGCTTGCAACGAGGAAGAGGACAAAGCATAATATCAACATAAAATTAAAGGAAAAGAAAGGAATAAAAACAAAATAAATAAGTAAATAAACTAAATCGAACAGAACAGAATGCAAGCAAAACAACGGAAAAAAGGACAGAGAAACAAGTGGGGGAAAAAAAAACAAAAAAAGGAAAAACAGTGAGGCAAGAGACTATGAGACCGAGGAAGAGGCCAAAGCAAAATATCAAGATAGTATGATAATATAACAGTTAAAAAAAAAAAAAAAAAAAA